CAATGGAAGTTTCGATAATCTTATGCAAGTCATCCACTGGACAAGAATCATTAATTAAGAAATATGCAATCGGTTGCTTCCGATTTACATGAATACCCCTTATCATTAATACTAAAGCACTATTCGTACAATCGAATCCAACAATTCTGTCCTTACTTGTGTTGTAAAATAAATTTGTTTTTAAACTAACTTCATCAGCACAAACTCCACAGTTCTTTGCCAAATCCGTCATGTATCCACTTTATTTTTCACAACACTAAAAATAAAGTTATTTAGTGCTGGTGTCGCTTCCCATTTGCTGGTTATTCTGCAAAGAGTTGATTTAGATGGCAACCAAAAATATTTTTACTAAACTGCTTAAACTTGTTTGTGTATATAGATCCTTGTGGGTGTCGTTTTCCCAACTGCAACTGCATTTTAATGAAATTTACAGTTCCCTCATTGCAATTTTCTTCACAATATTTTATAACATCTTCTTCTTCAAATGTTTTCTGTCGAATATCCTTTAGCGATTTTTGAAGAAATTTGGCCTCCTTTATAAGCTTCCTCTTTATTGGGGGTTTGTGAAGCCACATGACCTAAATCTAATATATTTATTAGATAATGATACAATCACAAGGAATTAGGTAAGTAAACAATTCAATTTACCTTTGTCAACTTTTGAGCTGCCTGGTTCTGCATAAGGTACATTTTCTTTTTCTTGTATTATATTTGCTGCTGCACTTTCTGCTAATAAAACAATTTTAATTACACGAATTATATCAACATTGTCCACAAAGTTTTACCTTGTAATGGGCCCACATGCTTGCTACTATTACCTACAATTCCTTCTTCAGTAGCAGTTCTGATGTCTGCAATTCACATGATACAAAATAAGCAATGTTGAGTTAAAGGACAAATATGTAAATTTGACATGTATTACTGATTTAATACACATTAAAAAATACCAATACGTTTACATAGATACAAGGACGGAAATGCTTCAGGGGTTAGTCGGTTCTTTTTGTTATTTTTAAAGAATCCGTCTTCAAAATGCACCATAAACTCCCTACATTTTTGTAGGAGCCATCTAATAAATCCACTCTTCCAATTTTTTTTAACCACAATGCTCCTCTGCAAATTGCACAAACATTTATTAACTTATCGGGCAAATTAAACTAATAGTAATTTGTTGCAATGTACAATATGCAATAAATATGACACAGCGTCTCCTAGCAGTAACCTGCGCAAACATACAATTTGAATAGAAGAACAAAAGCTTTCACGGCCGGAATCCATAGTCAGCGACTCACTTCAAGATCTACGTTCACGTTGTCAACGCAGCACTACCACTGAGGATGTCAGCCGCAGTAGCTGACGAAACGTCTGGACAGAATAGTTCACTTAGACCACGGCCCTACAGCCCGAATCTTCATTCTACTATACAATTTGAATACCGTAAATTAACGGAGTACAATTACTGCATTAGGTTTATACTGTGGTACTGAGAACACGTAAGGCCTGTAACGTGTTTCTCCCACTCCCAACATCCCTGCTCAACACCTTGAGAAGCAAGAATCTTTATGCTTTAATTTTGTATGCTTAAGGTCAAAAGTTTCATTTATATTTTATTCACCCACGTATCTTGTTTCATAAAAGTTATCAGATTTGGTGGGACATTCAATACAGATTGTCGCAGTATCCTTTACTTTAAAGAATCCATCCTGGATGTCAAAAATATTTATATTACTTCCTTATGTTTCTTTGTACTTCTCTGTCTCTTCAAATTTACTTAATTTAAGATTCAGAATCCTCTTTAGTTGAGTTGGAGAAGATATTAGATCGTGCTATCACTGTTATTCACTAGTAAGCAGGTTCTATCAATAAATTATCTGTTATTTAGATCTTTATTCTTAGTTTCGAAGTTAAAGACCGACCTAGTGTGTCATAAGAGTCTTTTTCATAGTTAAAACTTACATTTCAAATAAAACTGTTTTAATAAGAGCAATAAAATGCGGCTTCACAAATGATATTTAAAAAAATGTTTATCCAACTTAAAACAGACGTTTCTATTTATGTTTAAACGCAAACCCTAATAAAAAACAAGACTAATTTAATGTGAAGGATGAATACATTGACTTTTAACGGGTTTGTTATTATCAGGCTCGAATTTACTGAGAAACATCCTTCAGTCACCTTTCTTTTTTTAATCAGCAGCATTGCCGCAACACTAAATCTACGTTCACACAAACACAATGATGGGAATGCTATTAAAACTTGAACAATACACGACAATCTTAGGTACAATTGCGGTAGTGGTTTTTGTAGCCGAAATTTTTTGTAGTAATTTTTGAATTTGATATTTCTTCGTTGTCACTTCTTTAAGTTCTTTTTCCAAGCGGGATGATTCTGCAGTGTTGACATTTGAGAATGGATCCACGGTCCGGTATCTCCAATTTTAAAATGTCCTAGAATTGATCTTTGAAATCGCTGTGGAGGTTCTCCAAATGTTGGCAGTAGGTAAACAAGCAAGTCGTCGTTGTTGAATGATGTTGCTGATGAATTAGGGAAATTGTGGGACTAATGTCTGCTAAAATTTTTCACGTGTAAGAGGAGTTTGGCTACGAAAGCAGCAACAACATTTTACGTTTTAATCTTTGACAGGTTTGAATTTCCTTTTTCCTTTTCCTCGAACGAACTGCTTCTGCGGCGCTGACTAAATTGTTGCAATTGGAAATTCAAGTGAATTTGATGTGCCTGGTTTCACACCATCATCGTAAGTTGCTCTAGTGCTTCCAACTGTAAGAGATTCCTTCACATTTGGTATTAAATCCGCATCCTCAGAAACACGTCCTACCACATCAGTACTATGTGGTTGCTCTTGGTCATCTTGTGTCACATTGGTTGGTTTTGTTGTATATTGTATAGAATGGTCCATCAAATTTTCATTATTATTTGTTACTGAGGGATCTACACCAGAACCAAATATGTTGTCTGTTTCTTCTTGGGTTGGACTAGTATTTACGTGTTCAGCTGGTGATAAATGCTCGTTGGCAGGTCCAGATTCAGGTTTAGTATCTGCAACATAGATCTGATTCAACGGAATCTTTGTAGTCTCTGCTGGTTCAATCATATAGTCTCGGAAAATATCAGCATTTACTGGCCACAAACCTGTACTTTTAAAGCCATTACTTGCATTTCGAACCGTTGCAACTTTTCCATGTGCTTGAGCAAACAAACCTCCGATTTGTAAATGGGTAACAACGCGCCGTGGATGATTTTTTATTCACTGGAAGATTTCTTGATTGAAATATGTCTTTAATGGTCCATAAATACTGACGTCCAAGGGCTGCATTCGATGAGTGCAGTGTGGAGGCAGACACAGCATATGAATGTCATTTTCTTTAGCATTTGTCAAACATTATTTGCTTTTGTGACTTACGTGACCATCACAAATGAATAGAACCGGGTCTTCCTTACTTGCTTTCGTGTCTACTTGAAAATGTTTTAATCATTTTACAAATAGCGAGAAAATGTTTCCATAAAAAAAGTTTGCCTTTTAGTAAAGAACGTTTTTTCACCCAGCGAAAGTGGTGAGCCGCTGTTATTAAGGAACTAAGTCTGTACCCTTAACTTGCAGAATTAATTACAGGTATAAGGAGTGGTTTTAAAAAAAGAGACCCCTCTGCCACTGTTAACACCGACAACTCAGTCTACAAGTTGGCACTATCGCAATAGCTGATTTCACACAACTACCCCTTTCGGACTTAACGCCTGTAATGTCCCGTCTTGATTTAGACGGACTACGCGCCTAATTGGTATAAAATTTAATCTGAATTAACTGGTTTAAATGATGTATGAATATTTTGCTGGTTTAAGTGAAGATTCAATATTGTCCGGTTTAAGTGATGAATCAGTATTGTCTACCCTATATAATACATGTCTAAGTATTTAAAGCTAAACTATATACAAGGGGTAAGTGGGGTGGTTACCACTATTGGTTGAGACTAGGAATTGGAAAGTGGTAGGCGTTATGAAATTCTAAATAAAGGAAAAAGGTCGGTTCTGGAGACAAAAATACAATCCTAAACTAATCTGATTCGTTGCAGTGTGCCCCGAATATCGAGAGACAACTGTCATAAAGCTATGTCATAAATTAAGAAAACTGCCTGTCTATCAAAGGCACAAAGGCACAGCAGGAACGGTCTAAATTTTCTAAATACTAAAAAGTTTTGTACACTATACACGAGTTATTTGGCCGATACTATCCCTTTCTTAAAAAAAAAAAACAATTTAAAGCGATTCTTAAACTTTTATTTATTGTTGCAAACTTATTATTAAATTTGAAGTACACGCCTTTGGATTAATGTGGCCGTAGAGATAGGAGTTACCTCTTAAGGTAATACTAATACACCATGTGCGTTAAGTATAAGACCAATAAGATATCGGCCCGTCCGCGTAGGAAAGACTTTTGTAACTGAATTTTAATAATTAAAATTAAAATAATGAAAACTGTAGTTTTGTTAATTATGCAAAACTGGACGGATGACGTAGGTAGTGCCAACCGTCTATGGTCGATAAGGCACGTTATTTATTACAACGTTAACAATTTTAGTATCGTTAACTCATGTAACTGATGAATCGGAACAACGTCTTTGACCTCCTCCACCCACCTCTGCCCCCCCCAATAACACACATCCCTAATGTTTTCAGCGGATTTTTTTCTCACCCCATTTTCAACCCAATTTTTCATCCCTCGCATACCGTAAAAAAGCAGGTATATTCACATTTCATCGTTTACAGGTAATGTGCTCTCCTTACGTTTTACTGTAATGCGTTTTTCTTATTTACTTATTACTGCACACACAAATTACAATTCCCATACATACCTACGTTCTAATTAACATTACACTTAACTATTTACACACACCTTTTATTCCCTTTATTTCCCCGGGTCTTTAGGTACATGCGCCAACTGCTGCGCCAGATTCTGCACATCCACACGGGCGCTTCGTTTCCACCTCATGCCCTAGGACGTCTTCTTCGAGACGCAACCTATCTTCTTCCACTAGCTCCAGCGACCTCGTCTTCAAGAATGGTCCTGCATTTTCGCACTTGGGCGAGCTCTGTGCTCACGTTACCGCGAGCATCGCGCTTCCTCTCCCAAGCTGACGTCAGTGCCTCCATCTTTTCTCGTACATGATGAGCACTTACCATGACCCCTTGTTACATA